TTGAAATTCTCACATTTTTCGATAAGGATTTGGAGTGTGAAATTAGAATCATTGAAATTATGTTCAATTGGTTTATTTCACAAAGTAAGGATCATAGACAAACATAGAGTGCATACTTGGTGTATGGCAAAGCTATTGTTTAAGAAAAACATAGTGTACATGCTTGGAGCATGGGACAATAGTGTTTTTAATTCAGTATAAAGTTGATAAAACCGAAACAATGAATAATGAGTAAGCAGTATGGTGATAAATAAAAGTGGTCTATTTATATTCATAGGGTTTGATACCATATTTGATTCATTTATTCTTGTGTTTCATTTTGCATGTTTTGACTTCCAGAATAAACTAGGTCATTCTTCCTGAATGACTAAGTTATTCAAACTATCCACAGTCGGTCATATGTTGGAAGTAGATATGAATCAAGACTGTCATGGGTTGGCTTGTAGAGGTCTAAGATGTTGGACAAAGCGGTGCTACAACACTCATGAGTGCTCATAAGTTCTGAGTATTGGATTCAACCCACACTCATTTGAATCACTTCATGGATTTTATCACGAGTGATCATGAGACGATAATATCTTATATTCTTAAAACCTAGAGATATGAGTTGTTACTATGAGTTGGTTATACATTGATTGCACGAAAACGCATTGGTAACTCGATGTTATAAAACGTGCCTTTGTGTATGATTCAACAAGTAGTAGAACAAGCCATATGAGTCGAAGTTTATCCATTCCTTTTACCTTCGGGATAAAAGCCCCTCGATGATTTAAAGATGATACATGTGAGTGCTTGGCCAAGCCAGGACTGATTTGATTTGTTCAATCAGTCAGTCATCATGAATCGGAAATCGGGAAACAACAAATGGACAGAGAGAATGATTGATAATCCATGTCTCAGTCCATATGATATCTAGAATAGAGGAATATATGATCCCTTATCTAATGGACAAGTCATTGACAAAGGTCAGAGTTCATCGACAAGGTCAGAGTTCGATAGAAGCTTTTGAGAGCTACGATTGCTGATCGGTTCCTGAAGTCATACGCAATAATAGTTTTAGACTTATCCAAGTGGGAGACTGTTGGATTAATGTCTAAGTCCATAACTATAATTGGTAAGACTTGACCCGACCCGGCATGGTCCATTTGGGTTGCATGGCATCATGCATTTGGATAGACTATAATGAGAGAAATAACACTTAAGGTTGGTTAATATATTATAAGTTCTAATATATTAATAAGGTTATTTAATTAGTATTGATCAAGAATTAATTTGGAATTAATTAAGTGATCAAAAGGAGACTAATTAAATATATGGGTTGATTGTGTAAATCATTCATTCTTATATATGTGGGCTTGTGATCCAAGATTCCTTATGTTGGACTAAGTCCATGGGGTGACCCATGGATACTCCATGGAGGTTAAAATCCATGGAGCATAAGGAATGGGTAAAGTTATGAGTTACATGGTGTAACCCTAATAGCCACCATATAAAAGAATCCCATGGCTCAAGAAATCGTGCACTAATGTGTGAATATGAGGGCTAGACGATTTCAAGGAGTGTTCCATTTCTCTCAAGTCATTCCATGTGCATTTGGTGTTGTGTGAACCATTTGAGGTGTCACACTTGGGGCACTAGGCACTCAAGCTTCATGGAGACAAGCTACATCAAACAAAGGTATGTATTCTATCTATTTGATTACCCAAGTATCAAGTATTGTATGCTAGATAGGGTAATACCTTGGAAAGTTCATAATTGCATGTATAATAGAGAAAACATAGATCCAAGGTATTTAGGGTTGCATGTACACTTAGGAGTGTTAGAATGCGCAAAACCCATCAAATATAAGCATAAAGAAAAGTTTTAATTGGTTCTGAATATTAGAAGATGTCACATCATAGGGAGCCACTATCCGAGGGAGAGCCTAACACCGGGGGGGGGGGGGGGGGGGGCTCATCTCTTCCTTAGTGACGATGACATAAAAGAGGATGAAGAAATTACCATGTATAAACTAGATATTTTAAATGAACCAGTTCATGTTGTGCCGATAGTTATGGCTTACCCTTCACCATTTGGAGAAAATAAGGCCACCACTAAAGAATCTTCTAGTAATAATGATCTTGCTCCAATTAGCTTAATTCTCTAGAAAAGACCAGATGCTGATCCTCTTCAACCTTCCTCATCCAAAAGAGAAAAACAGAATGAAGATGGGCTTTTGAATGAATAGTTCATACCTATCTATACAGTTGAACTTAAATGCTCTATTGAAGAGGCCTCCGTGTTTGTAAAGGAACATAACTTAAGGAAGATGAATGAAATCATCTTGAAACACGATGAGGACATGATGCAAGACATCCCCACTCCTAGAATTATAAAATCAAGACATATATGTTGATGTGGTCACTAGAAGATTCCAGCCTAACAATATTGTCAAAGTTAGATGCTCCAAACCCAAGAACAATAGGGTTCTAACTATCAGTTTAACAAGGGCTTGTGGCATAGATCTTTTCCCATAACAAATTCTAGTTTCTGAGCTAATTAAATATTGTTACACTGAATGGGAAGAAATTTTATAGGCCATTTCAAAATGAAAAAGTGCCCTATACCAGGAGTTAAGGATTGTTGTTAGCAAGTTCATGGATAAAGTTCAGCAACTGATATTTGTTAGTCCCACTCCAAGGCCATAACCTACTCCCAGACGAAGAAGAGGACAACATAGATTTGTTGATGAATCTCTCATTCAATTGCTTCCTTTTGGCTTTCTATTGATTAATAATAGTTTGCCACCTGGTGTTTCTATGGAATGCTATAAATCTATTGATAGACCAAGAACATGTAATTACAAGTTGTCATCATCAAATCATCCAATACATTTTGAGGATAACATATTGTACACCTTATATTTAGATAAATGACATAATGGATTCGTTAAATTTTATTTGTGTTATTTCATAAATAACCTTAAAGGAAAGTGGCCAATCCCTATGAATCACTTATAGATATCGCAAGTAGTATAACATTATAATTACAATCATTGTGGTTTCTTGTCTCTCTCCCTCCCATGAAAAACATCAGAAATTTTATATGGATCACGATTTGATTTCTCATTCAGCAAGTTTAGTGTTGTACGCGATTACAATGTAGGAAGAACGAATCACTTCTTTATCAACCACAACTCCTAACTAAGATCCGATTCTTATAATGTAATTCGTTTATGTTTAATGTGACAAAACTCTAACCAAACCAAAAGAACCAAATTCAAAATTTATGTAGTCGAAAAACTAACTGATAGTTGAAAAAGTAATTGGTAACTGTTAAAATGGATTTGTGGTAAACTAGCTGATAAGCTAGATGAAATATGTAATATGACATAAAAATGCATGTAGAAGATTATTTATTTATTTATTTTTGTAATTAATAAAAAGTATATTTGAAAAATAAAAAAATTAATAAACTTGTTGAAAAGGTAATTGCGTAGTTTTAAAATTTTTTTTGCTTATAAGTTTTTATTTTTATTTTTTATAGCCTATTAAAACTAAAAAAAATAAAATAAATTATAAGCTAGCCACAATTTGTTGAAGATATTAATAAGTATATTATTTGATTGTGTGAGAATTTTCATAATTTTCATTGTAATTAAGAGTTTTCTTATAAACTCAACTAAGTATAAATTAATCTCAAATTTTCATCAAGTGGGCCTATTGATATGAGGAATTAGCCCATCACATGTAGGTTATCACGTGCCCCCTAGGAGCCTGGCCAATAATGGAGGCTCCACCTAATCAAACATATCATTTTGTGGTGGTTGTGCATTCATCGAATATTACGGGTCAATTTTTCTGTTCCACCCCCCACCCTATTACCATACACATCCACCAGTCATCTTCCTGCCTCCCTAAGCAACCCGTAACCCCTAGCCACGTGTCCCAACACATTCTCTGTTTCCAGTATCTTCTTTGATTATATAATTCCCCCGCTCCCTTCATATAAACGGATCTCGCAAAGCAAATTGTTCGCAGTCTTTCGATCAGATCTCATCGCCGTTCTTCAATTTACGCATCTGAATTTTTGCTTCGAAGAGGTAACTAATTCTTCCTTCTGATTCAAAATTTTCGATTTTTTCAATTCTTTTTAGTGAATTGTTGATGTGATGTTTCGTAGTTTAAGAACCCTAGTTGAATTTTATGCATTTAGTCGAATTTGAAGACTGTTTTGATTTTAATGAAAGGTGAATTATTACCTGGTTTTTATAGATAGGATTGCTTGTAGTTGTTAATTGTTTGTTATGATGGCGTGGTGTGCGAAATCGATTCAATTTTGCGAGAACAAATCTCATATCTATCACATTAGAAACACACACGTATAGTATATCTGTTTATTTGATTACACATAGAACTAAATCACTCAATCGTCGTGAATTCTCATAATTACTGATGGTTGAACAAATTAAGTTCAAAATTATGCTGTCAATTTAATCAATTTGTTTCGGTGATGGCTCCTCTCAATGCGTGGTTTGAGTTAGGGTTCTATATGTGAATCTTTTTCCTAAATTCTTAATTCTTCCTAAGAGATTATTGAGTGTATATGAACCAAAAGCTTTGAGATTTTGAACTCATAATTTCAGATTCCACCTGTGATGCATCTTTCGATTAGATTCAAGTCCACTTACTATCTTCTTTTTTTCATTTCTTTCAGAAGTTCATATCCAGTAATAGTCAACCACCTGGGAATGCGGAATGATGTGTTCAAACGTTGGTAATTCCTTCACTAAAACCCGCATGGTTGCAAGCCCATATGAACTACTCATTCTCCTCGATGAACTTGGATCCAATAATCAAACCACATTCACTCACCATGCCCAAATGCTCCCCAATTCCCCAATTTCTAGGGTTTCTGTCATCTTAAAACACGAGCTTGTTGAAGACGGTTAGTCCCTCACTTCACCCCAAGAACCCTACTTCTGTAAATAACCTCTTTACTACTTTTTATTTCTACAAAAAATGGAGAATATGGGAAACGTATTGATGCAAAAATACGAATTCGGGAAAATGCTAGGGCAAGGTAACTTCGCAAAAGTTTACCATGGTAGGGATTTAAAATCAGGCCAAAGTATAGCCATTAAAGTAATCGATAAAGAAAAGGTGTTAAAAGTTGGATTAATCGATCAAACAAAGCGAGAAATCTCCGTTATGAAAATGATCAAACACCCAAATGTAATCCAACTTTACGAAGTCATGGCTACAAAAACCAAAATCTATTTCGCAATGGAATACGCAAAAGGAGGTGAGCTTTTTGAGAAGGTGTCAAAAGGAAGGTTAAAAGAAGACATTGCTAGAAAGTATTTTCAACAATTAATCTTAGCCGTTGATTTTTGTCATAGTCGTGGGGTCTATCATCGTGATTTGAAGCCAGAGAATCTTTTGTTAGATGAATTTGGGGATTTAAAAGTGACTGATTTTGGTTTAAGTGCTCATGATTCATGTAAGCGTGTAGACGGGTTGTTTCATACCACATGTGGAACTCCGGCTTATGTGGCACCCGAGGTGATTAGTAGAAGAGGATATGACGGGGGTAAAAGCGACATTTGGTCTTGTGGTGTGATTTTGTTTGTTCTTTTCACCGGTCATCTTCCGTTTAATGATTCGAATATTATTCAAATGTATAGGAAGATAAGCAGAGCCGACTATAAATGCCCTAATTGGGTCCCACCCGAAGTCTGTAGGCTTTTAAAAAAAATTCTTGATCCGAATCCGCTCACTAGAATTTCCATGAAAAAAATCATGGAAAATTCGTGGTTCAAAAAAGGTTTAGACACCAAGCTGAGAGAAAAAATGTCCCTGTCTGTGTCTGTTTCAGTGCTAGAAGGCAGAACAGATACAGACAGAGTCATTTCTGCAATTCCAGCAACCCCTGAGCTGGCCTACAAATTTTGGCAGGAGCCAAAGAAGTTGGATTTCATGAAGGTGTCGAGTTTTAATGCTTTTGATATCATTTCTCTTTCGACCGGATTTGATTTATCCGGTTTGTTTGTTGGAAATGATGAGAAAGAAGAAGTGAAATTTACGTGTAGCAAGACTGCGTCGGATATAATATCAAAATTTGACGAAATTGCCATGAGTTTGAAGATGGAAGTGGGAATGAAGAAGGGAGGTCAGATAAAATTGAGGAAACCGAGCGAAGGGCGAAACGGGGAATTGGCGATTGAAGTTGAGATTTTTGAAATTACGTCGTCGTATCATTTGGTTGAGGTGACAAAATCATGTGGTGATGCGTTGGAGTTTAGGAAGATGTTGAAGGAGGAGATTAAACCTAGTCTCGAGGAAATTGTTTGTGCATGGCATGGTGAATTACCATAGAAAAAATATTTTATCTTTTAAATTATTTTCTACTTTGTAATTGTTTTCGTATCATTTTTATGTAATAATCTAAGATTATCCCCAATTTGTGTTTAATGTTATCATGTTCTTTCTTAATATCTATTTGCCTCACAAATTATAAGAAATCCGGATTGGGCCTGATCCATTGTAACTAGTTCTTTAAATGGGCCTTGAAAACCGATTTTGGGCCGTGTTGAAAATTTCGGAAAAATCTAGTAAAAAATAAAATTCAGGGTATTGTACTATAAAAAACTAGTAAAACCAATTAACAGTGAAAAATAAGTAACTAAAAACTCGGCTACAAAACTGGTCTTCAATCTGGCCAAGCTTAAATGGGCTTTGGGCCCAAATCCCTAATTGAAACCCATTACGTAAAAGGAATTTGATTGAGTAGGATGGATTAAAAATGCAACAATGGTTTTTGGTTCACTTAATTTTTCAACACATTCCTAGTTTTTTTTTAATGAAAATTTGCTATTCAAAAAAAAAAAAAAAAAAAAAAAAAATCAAAAGTAATGGTAAAAACAGCTAAGCTAGCATAGAGATGTGGTCACTGGTCAATGTCAGCTTCTTCTTATCTTGAAAGAACCAAGTTTCATTGAGATGCTACTTTAGTCTTTATACATATAAGGCTGGAAGAGAGTAGTAGTAGTTGTAGTAAGTGAAGGAATTCAGATAGATGCACTTGAAAAGGGAAGACCAAAGATGATGCTTTCATGTTTTCTTTTGGGTGTGAGAATACAACAAAGATGCTTGTTTCAGGTGTCACTGTCCCTTCTCTTAACTTTTCAAAATAAAAAGAGAGTTAATTAAGACATTTGAACAAATAAAGATGCATATATATAACATGCAAAAGAGTAAATGTCACATTTTACCTACTTTTCATGTGTCGTTCTCTTCCTTATGCTTGTAAATGAGCCATACTTACTCAAAACAAGTCATTTACGTAAACTATGGTTTGGGGTCTACATGTGCTTTTCCAAGTGGCAATTTAGTAATTTACAATTTTATGGTATATTACAAGTGGTGCATGTTGCGTAATTCCTTTGGTGAAGTTGATTGATAAAAAGAAGTCACATTATTCTCAAATTGACATATATGTTGTAACTTTCTTTTATGACACGTAAACTTTGAGGTTATGTATAATCACAAGACTTTTCTAAAATATAACAAACATTATGAATGAAACAACGCCTAATTTTGAGAGCTTGTGTGGCCAATTTGATACCCATTAGAGAATTATTCATGATGTGGGCCAACAAAAACATGCCAAGTTAGGCCATTCAATAGTCATAAAAGCTATGCCCTCACACACACCAACAAAGAATAAAGGTGGGGGGCTTTGTCTACCCCACACCCCATCCTACTACACTCAACACTATTCTATTCATTAAATTCATTCACAAGTGATATAAGTGTCCACATGAAAAATGATAGGCAGAAAAGCACTTGGAAAGTACAAATATCTTCACAAGATTCATACCAAATTATGGGAAAGGTGATGAGGGCTTCTTGGTTGTTGCCCATCTAACATCTTTGGATAAATCTACATGTTTTGATGGAAGATAACTTATTGTTAATAGTTGTTATGGATGTTTTTCATAAATTGAGTGATGCATATATGTACGACTCTTATCCATTCTAACATCAATAATGAATTGTGAATTATGAATCAATATCTGGAGTCCGCATATGGAAAGAGAGTTGAAATAAAGGTTGTAACTACTTTACGACCAAAGAAAAGAAAGAAGACAAACGAAATAGCTTTCTCTAACATACACACACAAACACAAACGTTGAAAAGCAAGAAAAGGAACTTTCATCACTTCTTAACCATTCATATCCCACCACAAGAGAAGTGTTGACCCAACCAAATGGTCTTAGTTGATTGAAATTCTTCCATTTGTCTTTGGAACAACTTTCCTTTTTGTCTAGGCTTTAATTACATAATTAAGACAATGAAGACTTAACTAATAAAGTAATAGTATAATAAACTTACTTTTGTCCAAATGAGTTTGTTTTGGTGGTCAAAACATAGAATGGTCCTTAGTTCCAATATGTTATTAACTTGTTGTTTATCAAATAATTAATAATGTGATGATGTGTGATAAAACTATATGCAAACATATTTAGTGATGCAAACAAGCCAGGTTGAGTTGCAATGTTAGGCCAAGTTCAAATTTGATTTGACTTCATACAGGCTCGAAAAAGATCTAAGAACTCGAGTACCTCAAAAATACCCATCAAAACTATGGTTTAATGGCAAACTCAACCCAAAAACATGAATAGCTCAAAAATATCGGTCGGAGATAAGTTTAATAGACCAAGTTTGATCCAAAAGTATTATCACATATTTAAGACTTCAAAAGCTCAATAAAATTTCAGATCGAGCTCTTAGAACTTGAACTTTACTTGTTATATGTTTCAAGCTTATTTTTGTCAACAAATTAACTTCAACCCCTAACTAACTATTCAAATTTCCACTTTTTTGTGACATTGCTATGCTTAGTTAGCCTTGTAGGTCTTCAAAAATAATAATTCATTAATAATAAAGAAGTAAAAATTGTTAGTGTATTGTTGTTGTGCAACTTATGTTTAATATATCGATCCGTCCCATATTTCTTGTATGTATGTATTTTGTATATGTTGTAATTAATAAGAAGGGAATTGATATGGGAAAAATACTTTGATTACATAGTATGAGAGCTTTGCCTTATGATCCCTTCCTATTTTATGTGTCATGCTCTCTCCCATTCTTTCTTGCTCTTCACGACTATACCCTAGTCACCTGTCACACCCCTTGTCAGTGAATTCTTTCTACCACTAGCCATCCTCCCTCCAATCTTCTTTTATTCCTATCATAATCATGACTACAGAAAAGCCTTGAGGGATTACAAACATCAAAGAATACATGCCACCTATTTTGGATTTGGATTGACTGAATTATGATAATGTTGAGTGTTATTCAAAACCCATTGCAATGATTTCAATGTTTAGACCATCTTACTAGATCAAATGGAAAAGCACATGCATTGTCCGACAAAGCAGAATGGATTCAGATTGACTCTATTGTCAAGATGTGGATTTATGGGACGAATTCATAGCTTCTAATACAAATAATCTTAAAGATAAACACAACCTCTCAATAAATGTGGAAGAATATATAAACTTTTTTCACGGCAACAAGGTTGTTAAAGCCATTCAACTTGACATTGAACTTTGTAATATTGTTATTGGTGATTCAACAATCATAGAATATTGTTCCCGATTCAAGATGATTGCAGATCTCCGTGACAAGGTTGACGATGTTGTCCCATTGAAGAATCTTGCTACATACAACATAAACTAATTGTCTCCCAAGTTTAATTATATATCAAGCTTGATCTGCCATCATGTTCCTCTTACCTCTTTCATGGAGACAAGATCCATGCTTTTACTTGAATATCAACGTATCAATCAAGTTCATTCCTATATTGTTGAAGCCACTCATATAGATGACTCTTCGTTCCATATGATTCTGCCCAACATTCCGTATAGATTTGATGATGAAAAATATATACACTATAGTTATAGTTAGTTAATCTGAAGATATGTTGATGGAAGTTCATATGTCGAAGACTGAAGAACATTCTCGGATGACTGAAAGACCCAAAAGACATTATCAGCACCAAAGGCATGAAGAAACCATCTATTGAAGACTGATCAGTGTGTCTAGGCGCTGATGGTTATACACTGATGATACACTGATCAGGTGATATGATGATGGCACTCGCTGATAGTACTATCTGCTGAAGCTGAAGCTGATCAGTGTGACACCCTGACGTTGATGCTGAAGCTAAAGTTGATCTCCCTAACGCTGACATTGATGCCCTGATAAACGAGACTCCCTGAAGTTGATGCTCTGATCAACGTCTGATGTGCTGGTACTGATACCTGAATCTGGAGTTGATCAGATTTTACTTAGTGAAGATATATTCTGAAGATTTGATCAGATCCATTCCTTATATACCAGATTACGTTATATTTAGATTAGATACAATCCTTTGATTTAAAGGATTCACTTGAATAGTTTTGTATATATTCAACATTAGGGTGAAACCCTAATGTAAGTCTTGGTGACCGTCTTTGTGACCTTCGTTCTCTTGGTGAGAACACCCCTTTCTTGGTGAAAGATATCTTAGTGACACTTTTGTGTTCTTCATTGTTCTTTCTTGTTTGTATCTGATCTACGTATCTACATAGGGTTTGGGACCAACAGTTGGACTTTTCGATATGCTTGTAATATGATTTATTTATTTATATGGTTTGTAATAGTAAATAAGAATTTTATAATTTTTTGTTAAAAATATTAAATTATTTTGTAATCTAGTATAAGTACTTTAAAATGTCACAAGAAATGAAGATGGAGCTATTTTTAAAGATCAAAAAGCGTTGGAATATAATAATTTTAATACAGTGGAAAACACAACCTTTTCTGTAAAGTATTGTTGAATGTGTTGCATCAGATCCGTGAAGCTGAAGCAACAGCCCCAAATGCAACCTTTTCTGTGAAGTGTTGCATGTTGCTGGAATGATTTTGAATTAATAGAGAATTCAACATCTTGCACTCAGTAGATGTTTTCACAAGTGGGAGCTTCAACAACAACATCTCTAGAAGTTTTTGCTCCATATTATCCCTTAAGAAAAAGGAAATGATATTTCATGTTTGGCTCACATGAAATATAACATAGTTATTTCTTGGTTTATGCACTCATGTTTGTGTGTGATGATAAGTGTATTGTTATTTTGTTTGTGTGGATGAAAATAGGATTTTTGCATGCTAGACAACCAAACACCCAAATACATATCATCATGTAGTTTGTTGTTTTAAAAAATAATAATTTTACACATAAGATGCTAAAAACGGATTTTCAAATAAAAAGAGTTTTACTCTCAAAGTCTTCAAGTTTTTGAAATTGGTAAAATAGGATAAAATAGAG